GGGGTGGGGCGTGTACGCCCCCTCAGCCTGCATGGCTGGCTCGACGGCGCTGTCTCTGCCGGGCCTGGACCCCTGTGCCCTCAGCAGCGTCTCGTCCTCAGGTCCTGGAGGCATGCATGAAGAACTGTGGGCGGAGGTTCCACAACGAAGTGGGCAAGTTCCGCTTTTTGAACGAGTTGATCAAAGTCGTCTCTCCAAAGGTCAGTCCAGGGCACTTGGCTGGCTTCTGGGCCCATCTTTGGGGTTCCTCCCTGTCACTCATCTCACTGTTGACCAGCATCTCTCTAATGGAAGCTGCTCTGGGGTCTGTCCGTGGACAGCCAGCCCTGGAATGGCAGGCTGCTTTCCCAGGAGCCTGTCCCAGGTCCCTACCGAAGCCCTCGCTGTCCCTTGGCGTGCCTGGTGGACACAGAGGTAGTGTCCTTCAGGCCTAGTCACCCAGCTGGCTAGCTAGTGTTCGGTTCTGGTCTTTTGGCTCCAGATACCCACTTGGTGCTGCGGAGTCCTCTTTCCTGAGCTCCACCTTTCGTTAAACAGTTGAGTTTCTGGCATCAGGCATGTGTGAGCCCCCAGCTCTGTCCCTGACCACACACTGCACCCTGGCCGGATGGTCTGTGCCACCAGAGTGGCAGCGTGCCCCTCCCACTGCCCTGCTTCACACACCTTCGCACCTGCCGGCTCAGAGCAGGCTCCAGGAGCTAACTAGCAGCTGTGCATTTCTGTCAACAGCCTCCCCTCCTTTGCTGCCTCCATTGCAGTTACTAGAGTTCTGTTTCCTTTTACTCTTCAGTACTTGGGAGATAGAGTGTCCGAGAAGGTGAAGACCAAGGTCATTGAGCTGCTCTATAGCTGGACTCTGGCCCTCCCTGAAGAATCCAAGATCAAGGATGCCTACCATATGCTCAAGAGACAAGGCACGTGTCTGCCTCCCTCGGCTTGCAAGCCGACCTCGAAGACTGGCAGACAGGCAGCTAGGGGAGGTTCCCGGCCCCTGGCTCTGTCCCCCGTCCTGAGGAGTGGCAGTTATCACGGGGAAGGTCCTGCCCGGTCAGCTGAATGTGCTGTCCTGTCTCCTTGCAGGCATTGTGCTCACTGACCCCTCAATTCCTGAGGACAGGACACTCATCCCCTCTCCGCCTCCTCGTCCCAAAAACCCCGTGTTTGATGATGAAGAGAAGTCCAAGGTAGAGGACGGTTCAGGTGGGGTCGTGGCAAGGGGCGGGAGTGCCGGGCCCTGCACTGCTGGTTCCCTAGTGAGCCGCCCTCTTCTCTCTGAGACCTTTGATGCCCTCTTCTTCCAGCTCTTAGCCAAGCTCCTGAAGAGCAAAAATCCAGATGACCTGCAAGAGGCCAACAAGCTCATCAAGTCCATGGTGAAGGAAGTGAGTGTGCCCGGCTCGGTGTCGGGAAGCACGAGCATCACGCCACATGTCCTCCTCCACCGCTGGCCCTTATGTGCGGAGGTTTCAGGACAGAGAGTATTGTCACTGTTGGGGAAGAAGAGAGAAAATCAGAGGTTCCTGGAGCCCAGGCTGGTGGGACGAGACAGACTGAGATGGTCGAAAGCATGCAGTTCCCAAGGGCCAGCGTTCGCAGGGGCGTTGGCTTGCTCCTGCCTGTTGTGGTGGACTGGGCCTGTGGGGGGCCATGGGCAGCGCTGTGTTGCTGAGTTTTCTCCTCACTCCCTCCATGTGCAGGACGAGGCCCGGATCCAGAAGGTGACCAAGCGCCTGCACACCTTGGAGGAGGTCAACAACAATGTCAAACTGCTCAGCGAGATGCTACTGCACTACAGCCGAGAGGACTCTTCAGAGGCAGACAAGGAGCTCATGCAGGTCAGCCAGCTCTGCGGGGAGGGGCGGAGCCTGGCTCGAATCAGTGACCTCCCGGTCTGCGCAGCCAGCAGGCACGCAGAGATGGTGTCCAGTGTAACAGGAGGGGGACACCCCAGGTGGCAGGGTGGGGGGTGACTGCAGAGCCTGGTGCTCAGCCGCCCCACAGCCCAGGCTCGGCCTCTGCTCACCGTGGTGCGCTCTGGGGTCCAGGTCGCACTCGGGGGGGGGGTGCGGTGTTAGGGGCTCAGGGGATTGGCCACAGCTGACGCAGTGCTTGGGGCCTGGCGTGTCTCGGGTCTGCGCGTCCGCTGGGTCAACCATGAGGGCCTCGCTCATCCTGACTTTTCATCTGGTGTTTCAGGAGCTGTTTGATCGGTGTGAGAACAAGAGGCGGACATTATTCAAACTCGCTAGTGAGACAGAGGACAATGACAGCAGTTTGGGTGAGCTGCCGGGAGAAGCGGCGGGGAGGAGTGAGGAGAAGGTGCTGGTGGTGCAGCTGTTATGTGCCTGGCGGGTCTGCACGAGGAGACTGTGGGCTCTGCTTCGTGGATTCGGGAACCCTCAGGGTCACCACTGCTCTCTGTTCACTGAGTCGAAATCGAGCCGGTGGGGAGTGGTTGGTTTTGGTGAGGTGCTGTGGTTGTCCTGGCCAACGAGGGTTCTCTATTCTGCTCTAGTGGACATCCTTCAGGCCAGTGACAACCTCTCCCGGGTCATCAACTCTTATAAAGCAATCATCGAAGGACAAGTCATCAACGGGGAGGTAGCCACATCCACACTACCTGGCCCAGAAGGTACTGTGTTCCGGTTCTGTTCTTGGCGCTCCCAAGCCAGCCCCAGCTGCCCATGTCAGAGCCCCTGGCCAAGCTGAGCAGGGCCAGCCCTTGGGGAGTGCCTGCTCCCTAGAGGCTGTGGGAGTGGAGAGGTCATATGGACCCCTTGCCCTGTCCCCTGGCTCTTTGCCTGCTCCGACAGCCCCTCTGCTTAAGGTGCAGGCTGTGCGGTCAGCCACTATGCTCAGGGCTCTGCCTCCAGAGGTCCACCTGCTGGGGTGCCCCTCATTCTTGTCACTCTCCCGTCTGTCCGGCAGGAAACAGTGACTGTGATGGCCACGGCACACTCATCGACCTGGCCGAGTCAGACACGCCAAGCAGTTCGCCCCCAGTATTGGTGCCTGCACTCCCCCCACCCACATCGAGTATCCCCATCCTCCCACCGCCTCCTCAGGCCTCGGGCCCCGCTCGCAGCCGCTCGTCCAGCCAGGCCGAGGCCTCACCTGGGCCCAGCAGTACCAGCAACGCCCTCTCCCTTCTTGACGAGGAGCTGCTCTGCTTGGGTAAGGGCCTTGCCAGGGCCACTCCAGGGTGGCAGGGGCGGCGTCCAGTCAGAGTATCTGAGGCCAGACTTATCATGTCCATCTCACGGGGACAGGCACTGCTTCCCTCTCCCAAGTGTCCCTCTCCTCAGGGGAAGGGCAGGCAGAACCCACTCCTCCCGAGGCTCTCTGGGTGCCCAACCCATCCCCAACCCCACTGCTGCCCATTTACTCACAGCCCTTCTCAGGGGACAGGGGCATTCATCACCGTCCCCTTCTGTTTCAGGCCTCAGTGATCCAGCCCCCAGTGTTCCGTCCAAAGACACAGTGGGAAGTAGCCAGTGGCCCCTGTTCCAGGTAGGGGTGACATGGGTGCCGTCGCCAAGACCCCCCTCTGCTCCTGCTTTGGCTTTTTAGCTGAAGTGTGCAACCCTCCCCTCTGAGGCACAGAGCTGGCCTGGAGATTCTGCTGGCCAGAGGGACCCTGCACTCCATGTGGGGACTCTGCTGGCCGGGGGGACCCTGCACTCCATGTGGGGACTCTGCTCTGTGTGGGAGGACACTGCACTGCTGTGGGAAGTCTGCTGCCCGAGGTGGGGGGGACTCTGTGCTGCTGTGGGGGGACTTTGCTGGCTGAGGGGACTCTGCACGTCAGTGTGCTTTTACTCAAAGTTCTGGGGCCTCCTTGTCCAGCGCATGGTCCCAGGGCACACAATTTTGGTGCCACATGGGTGTCACAGCTCCACCCCTGCTGCAGACCCCCTTTCCTCCCCACAGAATGAGCAGCCCACCCTGGACTTCTTTGGCCCCCAGCTGGGTCCTGCTACCTGCGGTCCTGCAGAGGGCCCTCCGCTACAGCCCACAGGCCCCCTCGCAGGCAACTCCCAGGTGCCACTGGCAGCTCCTTTCCCAACTCCCGTTGTCCCGACCAGTGTCCCTGCCCCCAGCCCGAGCTCTTTGTTCTCCACTGGACTGGCTACAGCTCTGCGTCCAAAGGCTGAGCTGGAAGCCTCTGCATCCCATGGCCCAGCCCTGGGCGAAAGCGCTCCACACCGGCCCGACGCACTGGACCAGCTTCTGGAGCAGGCCGGAGTGTAAGCCAGGCCGAGCCCTCTCCCCTCGGGGGCCGGGAGCCTAGGCAGGGAGTCCCTTGTGGTTTGTGGCCAAGGCTGGACTCTGAAAGGGGTGAGGCCTCAGTGAGGGGTCTGCTCGCTGACCTGGGCCCCTCCTCTTCCTAGGACCTCAGGCTTGGTGAAGCCCACCTCTTCAAGCTTCTTCCCAGGGGCTGTACCCTCCCCTCTTCTCCCCACCAGCACGTCTGCAGCCAGATCACTGCTTCCCTTCCCCGGAGGGCCCGACAGCCCCCTTTTTCAGCCTCAGGGCAGTCCCCCAAAGGGCCCTGAGCTCTCCCTGTCCAGCATCCACGTGCCCCTGGAATCCATCAAACCCAGTAAGTGCTGGAGGCAGGAGGGGCCAGGGCTGGTGGAGTCCACCTGACAGCTTCGGGGTGTACGGGAGGGGGGGCCTTCCTGCTGTTCAGTCCTAACACCTAGACTGGGACTCTCTGGGACCCCGCCCTGGGCCGCAGGCCTCCCTGGAGCTGCCCTCCCTCACAGCACCTCCTCGCAGGTAGCGCCCTTCCCGTGACGGCCTATGACAAGGACGGTTTCCGCATCCTCTTCCACTTTGCCAAGGAGTGCCCCCCCGGGCGGCCCGACGTGCTGGTGGTGGTGGTGTCCATGCTCAACACGGCACCCCTGCCCATCAGGAGCATTGTGCTGCAGGCCGCTGTGCCCAAGGTACCCTTCCCTCCGGGCCCTCTGCTGTCACCGCAGCCACCTGCCAGCTCCCCTCAAAATGTTTCCTTTGTTCCTAGTCAATGAAGGTCAAGTTGCAGCCGCCTTCGGGAACGGAGCTCTCTCCTTTCAGCCCCATCCAGCCTCCTGCAGCCATCACCCAGGTCATGCTGCTGGCCAACCCGCTGAAGGTGAGTTCCCCCAGGGTTGGGACCTGGGGACTCACCGCCCCAAGCTGCTGCCCCTGCCGTGGTGGCACCCTCCATAGTGGCAGCCTTGTGTCCCCTCCCCACCCCTGGGTCAGGGTTGAGCAAGTGCGGAGGGGGCAGTCAGGCTGTTCTCCTGGGTCTCATGGGCTTCTTTCTGCTGCAGGAGAAGGTACGGCTCCGGTACAGGCTGACCTTCGCCCTGGGGGAGCAGCTGAGCACCGAGGTGGGTGAGGTGGACCAGTTCCCGCCCGTGGAGCAGTGGGGCAGTCTATGACCTCAGGGGACGCTGGCACCTGCACTGGAAACCGAGGCTGCTTCACCCACCTGCCGACCACAGCCCTGTGCGTGGATGTGGGTGAGGGGCCCAGCACCTCGCTGCTCCGTCATCTCTCCTTTGGCCCCTAAGAGGACCTGTTTTTATTTACCTGATTTGATGGCCATAAACTTTCAGGGGCTCCTTGACTCACTATCCTAGAGGAATGAGGCTTTGAGGTTTACCCTGTTTTTTATTAGTGTTTCCAAACACTCCGAGGGGGTTCTCTAAAGAGACCCCCCCACCCTCGCACCTTCTCATTGCACCCCGAGAGGCCTCCGTCCATTGCTGTTCTTTGCTTCCACATCCTGCGCCTGCTTCTCCCTGCGGGCAGCCACCTGCACCCACAGGCAGCGGCACTGAACAGACCCTGAAGACTGCCCCAGCCCGGGATGACAGGCCGCGTGCACTTGGCCCTGGCAGTGCCAGGGCATCTCAGTGGACATGGAATGCAGCCATTAGCAACAGCACTGGGCCTTGCCACACTCCACAGGACAGAGCGGGGGAGAAGCTACCGGTGTCCCCTCCTCAGAAAGCACTAGCTCGGCTCTCGGAGGGGAGTGCACGCCTTGCCCTGGACCAGGCAGCCCGACTCGCTACCTCTTGCTTAGCATGACACAGACTGCTGGCCCCCCTTCCTGTCTGAGGGGAGGACAGCTCCCAAAAGTCCCCGGGGCCCACCACACACACTATGACCTTGGTGTAGCATCTAGTGCTGGATGTGGCGCCCTGGCCTCTGGACACTGCACCAGACTCTGTCTTAAGTCAGAGTCGACACCCCAGCTCCCTGCTGCTAAGGGAACTGTATGCGGGATGCTGGGTCTGGGCAGCCCGTTGCGTCCACAGTGCCCAGCCCTGGCTCGCTAGCTCTGGCGGCTCCACGTGGATGCCTCTGGGCCCATGACTCCAGCCTCAGCAACACGTTAGCTGGAAGGAGCAAGTGGCTGACCTGAGCTCAGCTGGACCAGCTCAGAGTCCGTGACCCCTGCCTGCCGCTTTATTCACTCAAGAAGTCACTCAGTGTTCCCTTGTCACTGTCCACGGCAACCAGGTTTCACTGGGATAGGCTAAATGTGAACAGATTTCACCACAGGAGTAACTCGGAGCTTTCCAGAGGCCAGCTGCTGTGATCCTGAGGAAGCCTGCGGTTAATCAGGAACTGTACCTTTATAAGCTTTAGACATTAAAATTATTTATGAGTGTCCCTCATTCCTATCAAGTTCACTGCTTGGTTGCAATAACTATAATGGAGATACCACCTCTGTTGCCCCTGCTTTGCTGCATGTTAAGTAAAGCCATCTTCCCCCCCTTGAAGTTCTAACAAGGGCACGTCCGCCCTGGGGGAAAAGGGACAGGATGCCACTTGCCATTTTTGTTCAAAGTCTACGTTCCTGGACTTTAAAAAATAAGATTAAAATATAATCCAGAAGATTCTGCGGTCAGTCAGGTTTCCAAAGTATGCCATGCTCTAGTGTCAAGGCACACTCGGGAAGGTGTGACATCCACCATGCTGGGGTGGTGTCTTGAAGGAGAGGGGAATGTCAGTTCCACTTAACTAGTTTTTTACTCTACATTTCAGGACAGACCAAAAACTCCCTAGCCAGATGCTAAAAAATTTCCTTTTATTGCAAAAGAAAGTATTTATTCTTTTAAAAATGTATATACACTGCCATCCAAAGACAGCTCACTGGAGCGGCCCCCCAGGCCTCAGGAGCCCCCTACAGAGCCTTCTTTGACAATCGCCCGGGCAAGGTTACGCGCAAGAGCCAGTCTGAGCATCTCCACCTTGGTGGTCTCGATCTCGTCACCCTAGAAGCAGAAAACCAGAGTGAGGACCAGCTGGCAGGAGGTTAACACTGAGGTGCATTATGTCTGATCTGGGTATGGAGACGGAAGATGGTATATAGTCCGGGTACAGAGGGCAGCGTATAGCACTGAGCAGCGGCTTCAACGTACAAGGCTCAGCTCACTGTCAGGGAGTCGGGACCAGCTCACGGCTGACCTGCACTGGATTTCACAGGCTGGTATCAACATGAGCTGGAGTGCCCACCTTTCTCCTAAATGACCAGGCTGGCCAGGACCTTTGACTTGGCCCTGTGACTCCTATGGCCAAGGCCATCACAGCTCCGTCAATTAAAAATCACTGACAAGAACCAACTCAGCTGACCCTCTGCTGGGGTTTTGAGGCTGTAAATCTCATGGGAATAGGTGGCCCTTCTTCCTACAGAACCACTGGGAGATCTGAACCACCAGAGAGGCACCTGGTCTACAGAAAAGGAAGACATCAGGAAACTCCCCACCACTCCCAAAAAGCCCCTGCCTCAGCTACCGGCTCAGAGACTGTCGGGGGTGGGGGGGACGAGGGAGGGAGGAAGGACTGGCCAGCATTTCTCATTCCTGGGGACTAAGAGAATAAATTACCTGGGGTCTCTGGTCATCGGACTCAGCACACGCTGGACTTCCTGTGGTCAAGTCCTCCAGACACCTCATCAACTCATACGTCTGCTCTGCTGAAAAAATGACCTGAGGGAGAGTGGAGGTGTGGGCCACGGCCGAGCCCTGGGTGGGAGCCTTGGGGTCAGGGTGGCTTCATCGTCTCCCCACGGGGCTTGTCCCAAGGGGGTGCTGTGTGGGCAAAGACAGACACACACCCACAGAGCAGCACCCTCACACTGACAGAAACGTAGAGAAGAACCTTGTGGATTTAACTGGTACCTGTTTCTGTTCCAGAAGGGGAAGGGCATCTGTCAGGAGAGTCATCCAGAAAGACCGAGGGGCGATCTGTGATGTCATCAGTGACAGGAGAAGAGACGCCCCAGCCACAAAGTGCTTCTCCCCATACAAGCGGTGGAACTCGCGATACTTCCCTGGTGAGACAGGAGAACCCCAAGTTACCTCCCCGCACCCCAGAGTGCTCTGGGTGACACCTACAAATCTCCTGGCCCTAAGCACAGAGACACCAGCCTCCCCTTCCACAGTGCAGGCAGGGCCGTCCAGCACTGTCCAGACGCCCACAAGAGTAATAAGATGCAGACCCCAGACTCAAGCAGCCCCCCGCACGTCCACACTGACAGAAGAGGATGTGGAGACGGAGCAAGCTCGCTTCCAGCTAGGCCAGACGTGATGGGTGAGAAGATCCCTGAGGGTTACCAAAGCTCGTGCAAGGATGATGGTCAGGCTACGTCAGCAGTCTCACCACAGATTTCCCAAGGGAAGAACCAACTTCCTAGAGGGGAAGCCTGGTAGGCATCAGGCTGACCAGAGGTCAAGGCCAGCTCCACTGGCACAGCGCACTGAGCGGTGTCCCCACAGAGAGAAACACAGGTAAAAGCAATCACAGAGAGATGGCCGCCAAGTTCCAGAAGAATTCATTTAAATCGGCTGGATGCTTCTATAATGTCTTGGTTACAAATCACACACACAGGCTCTAATGCAACAACACTGTTAAACGCCGTCTAGACTGGATCTAAAGGTGCAGCGGCCGCCAGTCACGCCCGAAACCCTGGCATCCGAGGTGGAGGGTGCGTCCACTCGGTGCTGTCCACCTTTAGTGTCAACCTCAGAGTCCTGCCCTCAGGAAATGCACGAGAGGGCTTTTCAGAGAGGAGGAAACGGTGTCTCCAACCTGCTCAAAAATCATTTCAGTAAAAAGAAAAGACACGCGGCACAAGAGAAATGTGTGCTGCATCTGGGGAAGCATAAAGGGGAGTTCCTCGTTCCATGTACTATTTTTGTAGCTTTTCTGAACACTGAAACTGCAGGAAAACTGTTGACCAAAAGCTGTTTTGCAGGGTCTAGTACACAGGGTTTGGAGGAAAAGACCCTGCAAATTGTCCCAACTGTCCCTTTGTGCCCCAGGACATGGAGCCCAGAGTAACTCACCCAGGAATGTGAGCCGATCGCTGAGCATCATGGCTGGCCCCAGGTTGTCAATGAGGTCCAAATCCGAGAAGCAGCCTCGTTCACAGTAGTCCCTGAGGAACCTGGAGGGCCCAGGCCAGGTCACAGCGAGCCTCCAGCACAGCCCCTTGCCTGCCCCGTCTCGCCCACACCCTCCAGCCCGGGCGCCGAGCAGCCCACCTGTCTGACACCAGGGTGGCAAAGGCAGCGTCCTTGGCTCGGATGCTCCAGGAGAGGGCGGAGCCCAGGCGGCTGTTCCGCATGGCTCTCATGGCCAAGATCTTACAGATGCTGCGGACTGTCCGGGAAGAGAAGCGGGGCGCCCTTCACCCTCCCGTCCTCCCAGCCTTCAGCCAGGGCCCCAGGAGCTCCAACTGTGGCTTGATCTCTAGCCTGCCTGGGCTCTGCCCACAGCATGACACCACCCTGGGGGTCAACCTGAAGAGTGAGTGGGTGGTGCAGAGATCTCCCTTCTGCTGGGCTGTAAACACGCTCCATTTTCATAAACACACAGGTGCCTCTGGGAAGAGCAGACTAAGTCTTCTCATCCATCAGAGGGGAGGAAGAGACACCTTCCCCACACCCCTTCCGGGCCTGTGATCCCCACACCTCAGTGCTGCCGCCTCCTCTGACCCCACGATGAGAGAGAAGGGAGAGGTGGGTCAGAACTGTCTACCAGGCAGCCTGCCTGATTTCTTCTAGGTCCTAGTGGGGCCCTTGCCCCTGGGTCCCTTCCTGAGTGTCCCACGTCTGCTTCTCGGCAGCCTGGCTGGGGAAGCTACAGATAGCTGGTAGGTGACATCGGGTTCAGGGCTTCCCAGCCCCCACACCTGCTGAGGGTGGGCTGGGAGTGGAGCCAGCTCACCTTGTTCGACCATCTGCCGCTGCTCACAGATCCGCAACACCTTGAGTGCCTTCTGCTCCGTGTCCAGAGGAATCCGCTCAATGTGCAGCTCCAGGGAGACTCGGCCCAGCTCGGGGCAGTGGTCAAAGTAATCCACCGCCAGCTGCCACAGGCTGCAAAGGCCGAGGAAAGGCCCAGAGCGGGCTGGTGAGCCCAGGGGCCACCTTCCAGTTCTTCGCCCTGACCGAGCTCCAGTCTCCAGAGGACATGGAGAAAACATCCAAGTTCCAACGGCATCAGGATGCCAAGGGGACCCCAGGTGCATCCTTCTCCTCTGCCCACACCCACCTGTGATGTGCGAACAGTCCTGAGGCATATTCCAGCAGCAAGAACTCACGCATGTTGGAGCCAAAACTGGAAGGAAACGTGCTGTGAGACGAGACCAAAAAACAGCTCTTGGGGCTCCCTCCCTCTGCTCCACCTTCAGTGCACCCCACTCCTGAGGTCCTGGGTTTAAGGGAGAGGCAGCACACTCCCCACCCACTCACTAGAGATTGTGAGACTGGAGCAGTTTGCAGTGGTCCAGCAGGTCAGTCAGATGGGCCACAAACCACCAGTTGCTCAGGACGATGCTGAGGGCGAGACACAGCAGAGGAGTCGGAGACTACAGCGTCCAGAACAGCTGCTGTGATCCGGACTCCCCAGACATACACGGCGGGACAGCCGGAGGGCTGCACGTCACCTGTCGGCTCACCAGCCCACGAGACGCCACCCCTGGGGAGCTCCGAGCTCGCCCCTTTTCACTGGCTCATGTGCAGCCTTTCCTTAGACCACTGACAGTCCTTCTCCTGCTTACTCTGCTCAAGTCTACCTGCTCCCTAAAATGCAGCATTTCTGGAGAAGCTCTGGCAATTCCTCCAGGGAGTCAGGATTTCGGAACACTGCTACTCAGAACCATGGGCAGAGCCACCAGCAGAGCCGGGGGGAGGGAGTTCCTTGGTATGTCACTCTCATCGGCCCCGAACCCTCTACCTCTGATAGCCAGACAGCTTGTGAAAAAGAGTACTGACACAAAATCCCCCTTTTTTCTCCTTTCCCCAAATCTAGTAATTTTCTCAAAGCCCTGGCTTTTCAGTGGCTGAATCAGGAAGAACAATTAGCACAAGGGAATCAGATCGACTAAAAATAAAGACACAGCTGAGGTGAGTGACGGGGAAGGTCACCTGATGCTCAGGCTGACTGCCCCTCGCGGCCGTCAGTGACCCATCCGCACAGAGAGGAAAGCATTCTTCTGACTCCTGCAAGCAAGGTTTCTGAAACGCTTCACTTGGGATGACGTTTGCATCGCGGCTTTACAACTTTACAGCTGCAGCACTTTTCCCGAGAGAGCGGGGAGGCCCTGCTCTGAAGATGCCTGCCCCCCCGGCGAGCATGACGACTACAAGCACTGTCTCATAAGCTGACGTAGTCCGTTAACCCAAGAACCAGCCCTGCTCGTTTTTCAAAGAAAGTCATTTCCTGGAAATGGGATTTTAGGCAAACATTCCTGAAAGGGCGATCATTTTAACTGTAGTCGCCCTCCAGCCACCTCCAGAGAGGAGCCATCATCACCAGCTGCCACCTGGCTGGGCACCAAGAAGGATCAGGACAGCAGGGGGGCCCCACCTGCACTCCTTTATCACTTGGTGGATGTCAAACTCAAAGGCTGCCATCAAGATGTTGTCCAGGGGCTCCGGGCTCTCCCCTCCCAGGAACAGGTCCAGGCTGGACTGTGGAAAGGTAAGGACCTGCTCAGTCCCCGGGGAAGCAGAGCAGACGTGAGGGGGCAGGAAGGGCTGCTGTGCAGAGACCCTCGAGAAGCATTATGGGTTCTTCAATAAGCCCCTTCCTGACCCCAGAACCTGTGTAAGATGACCCACGGGGAACCAGGCCCCGACAGCCAGCGCAGCGAAGCCCACACTCACCTGTGCGTACATGTGCAGCTCGGTGGGCTTCACCGTGGGGTGGGAATACAGCAGCCGCGTCACCAGGAAATGGTACCAGTTACTCAGCAGCTCCTTCTGCTCCAACAGGGTCTCCTCATCTCCCAGCAGGATCTGAGGGCGGGGTTCCCTGAGCTCGGGCCACGCTGGGGCCCTGCGAGTGCAGCTCAGACTCCTCACAGGACACTGCTCTGCCACCTCCCCTTCCCCTTGTCACAGCGCCAACACCTCATCTACTCATTGAGAACATGAGTCTGAAAGCTCTACCTCCCAGAGCAGGGCCGAGAGTCCTGTCCAGGGGAGACCGAGCTCTGCCATTCCTGCTCTGAACACCACAGCCACAGGGGCAACCAGCCCAACAGAAGCCCAGCCTGCACCCACAGACCTGATAGACCAGGTTATACCTGGAGACCTGACAGACCATCCCTCCCCATAGACATGAGAGAGACGAGGCTACACCCGCAGACCTGGCAGACACCATCCCACCCCCGCAGACCTGGCAGAGGCTATCCTCCCACACCCACAGACCTGACAGACACCATCCCACACCTGCACACCTGACAGACACCATCCCGCCCCCGCAGACCTGACAGAGACCATCCCGTCCCCGCAGACCTGACAGAGACCATCCCGTCCCCGCAGACCTGACAGAGACCATCCCACACCTGCACACCTGACAGACACCATCCCGCCCCCGCAGACCTGACAGAGACCATCCCACACCTGC